TCTGCTGGTTTCCTCTTGTTGCCCAACTTCCAACGGAAATCTCATCAAGCATGTTTGAGCAGCAGGCACATGCCTGTACTCTAGCTGCAAGGGAAGCTGGCAGAACATGTTTTCTGGCTTCCACCTCAAATCAGAAAAGATGCCAAAAGTCCACTGCAAGGCTCAGGCCACATCAGCAGTCCTTTGTCAGAAGGGACCCTCAGAATCTAGAGCCAGGGGCATGGGGGTGGTATCACACCAAAGCTTGTCTTTCCCAAATTAGGTAGAAATCACAGAGAGTCATGAGACAAAATGAGGCTGCAGATCAAGCTCAGAGTGCAGTCTGCCCCAGGTCACCCATGGCTTCTCAATTTTCCTCCCTGTGGCTTCTCAGTTTTCATCCAAGGCCCCTTGCCACCCCCACCCAACTGCCTGTGCCTGGGGAAAGGTTGCACTAACTTTAGTTTTAGCATTTATGTAATTATAGCCCCTGCTCTAGTTATGCTGCCTTCGGTCCTCTGTGGAACACAAAGGGATGCATGTAAAACTGCAGCGTTTATATGTCAAGAGCAACAGACTAAGGACTTTTGATCTTTCGCTGTTTTGCCATACGCACAGTAGACTGTGTATCCTTTTGTTTCCAGTGGCTTTCAACCACATTTTATAACATCTTACAAGTCTGTGCACAGGCACTCTGACAGTGTTGCCCGGACCACCTGAGTGCCCACGGGCTTCACTGGAATCACTCAGTGGTATTCATCTGATCGCTGGTCTGATCTGGGGGGTCCAAGAGACCAAGGCAGAGCCTGTGAGTCCTCTTAAAAGGCTAGGCCCAGAACTGGTGTAGTGTCATCGCATCGTGGTTCTGTTCCCTGCGATCGCCTCCCAGCCTGTGTCGTCCTCATGGGTCCTTGGTGCAAGGCGTGTCCCATCCCACCGGTGTAAATTCGTCAAGGACGGGAATCGAGCCGTGACCACCGCGGTGCCCCGGGGTCCAGCAGTGTTTCTGGCCCAGAGTGAGCAGGGAAGCGTTGTCTGACCAGTTACACGGAGGTGAGGCCTGGGGACTCTGGGCTTTCTGGAGGGGAGGGGCTCATCGCTATGAAGGGTGGGGCTGGTTGTCCTCAGTGACACTTGGCAGAAGGCAGTCCCTGCCAGCCCTGTCAGCACCACACAAATGACAACAGTGTCAGGGCCTGTGCCCCGCGCACCCCTCCCTACACAGAGCCGGCACCCGGTGCAGCTCTGTGGGCAATGTGTACTGGCTCTGCCCAGCCTGGTAGAGCACAACCCAGGGCCCCTGGGAGGCCTGTTGCAGGGGGAGCTTCCCCAGCCCCCGACTGGCGCCCTGCGGGTGCTTCAGCCCGTGCGGCTGCCTCAGAGACTTTTTCATCCATTAAGGATCAGGGTCTTTAGTGTTCTTCAGTCGCTGCAAGAAGCAGGATGCTGTCAGCCACCGTAGAAATGTGACCTTTGAAAATTTACAAGAGCGGAGGTTTAAAAGCTGCTGCGTTAATGATGCATCTCATTAGCATCTTATTAAAGCGAAGCAGAGAGAAGCCTGCTCAGGCCGGATGATGGGCAGATAGGCCACTTTGAGGTGCCAGGCAGGAGGAGGGCTCTCTTCGTCTGCCTCTCTCCGCCAAGTGTCATCATGTCACAGGAGCAGAAACACGGCGAGGAACACTGGGCAAAGGCCAAATATCTAGGTGGCTTCACTGATGTCCCAGACACTGGCAGCGACAGAGGACAAGGGGAGGCTCTCCCAGCCCTGCCTTCCTCCCCCCTACCCGAGCTGTTGTCCTGCTTGGTTTCCACGGATTCTCGTGGGCAGGCAGCTCCCTGGCAAGAAGCAGAAGTCCAGAGGCCTGGCAATTGGACTGGGGTGGCCTGGAGACCTTTGATGGAGCCTTGGACCCCCGAAGCCTGGACCATGGGGGAAAAGCTTAGCAGGAGCGGGTTCAGAGCTGGAGCCGCAGGCCCACACGCAGGGCCCCAGAAGCCTTCAGAAGCCGGGACCCCAAGTTTACTTTGGACCTGGAGCCTTCGCAAGAGGATCGGCTCTGGTCAGGCCGGACTGACTCATCCCCGGACATTCGTCTCCCACCTGGGGGCCCAGGCGCCTCGGCAAAGCGCACAACCCATGTTTGTGTTTTTTCTGGAAGGAGGAGAGGACGGAATGTTCATGTCGTTATGTTAATAAAATAACTAAAAATTCCTGAACTGCAAGTTGCACATAGCTTCAGAAGTTGCTAGTGCCAGGTAGAATATGAGTGGCCATATTTATCTTTCTGGGGGAAAAAAAAGATTCTGTTTTCATTCTCACATCAGAACAAATTTCTTGTACATACGAATTCGCTTGTAATACTTAGGAAAGTCACAGCCAGACAGTAAACCAGTCGTAGCCACTCCCAGTCGCCTTCAGCGCCCCAGAGCCCCCTGCGCCCGAGCTTCCTTCTGTTTGCATAGGTAGCTGAGTGCTTCAGTTTGCGGGGACCAGTGACCCCAGAGCCTTGGGCAGCGCGGGGCTCCGAACAGAGGCCCAGGTGTTGTTTACTGAGCAGACCAACTAACTGACAAAGGTGCCGGCGACTGAGCTAGCTGGAATGCTTTGGAACAAATGTTAGCGCAAAAACTGAAACTGCTAAAGTTGTGGAGTTCGGAATCGGGTGACCCACTTGCGAGGGGAAGACCCCAGCTGCCTCTGCGGGCGGCAGCCCCGGCCCAGGGCCTCTGAGTCTCCGGAGCCCTACCCTCCCCTTACACTGGATGAAGGTGCCAGGCACGGCCCTGGAGGCTAATTCAGCAGGGCAGGAATGAAATTAAAGGAGGACCCTGAGAACCAGACCTGCCTCTGGCCGCGGAGGCCTCCAGAAATCCCAGGTAGCAGAGAGGGGCTGCAGCGCCCCCTACCGGCAGGAGGTGGTCTGTCTTACCATCGGAGGAGGGTGCTGGTGAGGACGCAGGGGTGTCCGCCTTTACACCTCACCCCAAATAGGGCCCTGGACCGGACATCGCACAGGCTCTTCCCCCTCAGATGCCTCTGATTACGGGGAGCAACCTCTGTGCCTCTGAACCCTCGAGCACCCCGAGAGTCTGGGAATACAGAGGGGCTGCAGACAGGGCAGGCTGCAAAGCTATCTATTTAGAGAACGCCACAGAAGCCACGCTATTGTTTCATAAGTTCCGGAAGACTGCTGGGGAGAGAGGCCAAATCCCCACCCCTCTCACCCGCCCCAAGCTCCCCTCTGCCCCGTAGACAAAAATGGGGCAGGAGCCTCTGATAAGGAGGCTTGTTTGTTGAATTGTTCTTTCCTCCGGAGGGTCACTCTTTCCCTTTGTTTCCCCGCTCAGCTCACAGATGCGGAGCATCTGAAATGCAGGCCAGAGATAAAGTGCAGCCTAATGCAATTAGCTTGGTGCAGCCGCGGCTCCCGCTGCTCCCAGCAGGCCCCAGTGCAGGCGCTGGCTGTCCTCTGCACTAGGCATCAAAGGCCCCCGTAAGAGCTGCGCGCCCTCCCTGCTCGTACCCACCCCGACCCCCGGTGGCCTCGTGTCCGGGAGGCCCATTAGGGAGCGCTGCCTTCTCCCCCGCCCCCCCTCCCGCACCCACCAATCTGGTTACTGGGTCAGCTTCCGTCAGAGGTCACCAGGACGCTGCTCCCGCTAAGCAAAGTCTGCAGATGCCCCTTGGGGCTCCTTTGGCCTTTTGTGACTGTCTCCAATGGGCAGCTGTCTCTGCCCCCCACCCCACCTCACCCTTCACCCCAAAACGTGTTGGGCTGTGGCTGCACTGCTGGAAGCCACTGTCACTTCTGAAACCAACTCTGTGGGGACCCACACCTTCTGACGTCCCAGTTATCCCGGTCCGGGGCTCCCCAACATGATTTTGGGATTTTTTTTCCTTATTACACCGGATGGGCAAAAGTAGGTTTACAGCTGTAAGTACATGAAACACAGAATTTATTCTTGTGTGATTACTTACTTATTGTATTATTTTCCATACACACAACTGTAAATCTCCATTTACCCCACTCTGTCATTATAATGATAATAATGGTAATGGCCATAGTAGAAAATTTGGCAAATACAGAAAAGTATAGACAAGAGAATAAAAGTTCCCCATAATCACCCAAGGATAGCATCCCTGCTAACATTTTACTTTTTCCCTCCTGCACATATTGTTTGCGTGGTAAGGTTATATATTTGAGTCTTTTTATGCCCTGCTTTTCTCATTTAACATTACAGTGTGAGCATTTTTGCCATCTCATTAAGAACTCTTAGTAAACATGATTTTTAATGACTATATAATATTCTATCATAAGGCTGTAGCTCAGGGAGACCAATGCTGTCCTAATGATTGTTTTCAGCCTGAGATTCATTTTCCCTTTACTCTAAATATCTAAGTTGGAGAGTGAGATCCTGGAGCCGGGAGCCTGCCTCCTTCCTGCTGGGAGGGACGTGGGGGCCTGGTGAAGGTGTCTCCCGCCTCCTCACTCTAAGGGCAGGATGGGAGCTGCCCTGCCACTAGCCTGGGGCCCCACCCTCCCCAAGTCTCCTTTGACGCGGGACTTCTGGGGCCTCTGTGGCTGGCGTGGGGGCAGGATGGAGAGCCGTCGCTCACGTGGCCGAGGGGGCTGAGTACACAGTCGGCGCTCAGCACATGCCCGTGGGTGTCGTTACAGTTTGTTAATGGCCCAGGGGCTGGGGGACTTCGCATCTCAGGGCAGACCTCTGTTTCCTGTGAGGGAGCTTCCGTGCGGGGAGTGGTCCCCGAGGGCGGCCAGAGAGGCACTGGGCCGCGTGCTCCTGGAGGTGGGAGCTCCGCAGAGGCCGCACCTGCTACTGCTGTGCCAGGATGCTCTGCGAGCCCCCCCGCGGCGGGATTCGGGCCAGGTCTCTGCCGCGAACCCGTGGCTCAGGCAGCGGGAGGACCGCTGGGGCATTTGGGGGGGGGAGGTTGAGCCCAGGGCAGGACCCTCGCCAGGCTGTGCTCACCCTCCTGCTCTGCTTCTCCCCAGGCTCCCGGCATCTCCAAAGCAGACAGTCAGTCCCAGGGACTCACGACCAGCATCCGGTGGGGGCAGACGCCCATCAATCAGTCCACGCCCTGGGACACTGATGAGCCGCCCTCCAAACAGATGAGGGAGAGCGACAACCCAGGTGTGTATTTCCTCCCAGGGACAGAGGCACCTGTGCCGGGGCTGGGAGAGGTGTTAGGAGCTCCCCAGGGCCCCAGCTCCCCAGCAGGTCCTGACCTCCAGACTGCAGCAGCCCAGCTGGGTGGGACGGGGGCGCCATGTGTCATTTCTCTGCTACTCAAGAAAGTATTTGGGAGAAAGTAAGGGAGCGACAGTGACTTTGAATCTGCTTAGGGTTATTCTGAATAGTCATTCCTAAATGTCAGTGCCCTGATTCATAACAAATGTCTCAAGTCACACCTTCCAGTGAGGTTCTTCCGCCTTGCCAATGGTTACGAGAGAATGGGACTGGGGACTTGCTCGCCACTTCCTACACCACCCAAGGCCGTCTTTGGACAGCTGTGGCCGTAACAAAAGTCTTCCCTGTCATCTCCCATTGGTCCCAGGCCTCCCTTTGGGGTACATATAGACTCATCCACTCAGCCTTCCACACCACAGCCCCACAGATATCTGGGGGTCCCACTCTCCCCGCTCCGAGTCTTCCGTGGGATGATCACCCACATCCTTCAGCCACGCCCCAGAGCCCATGGTTCCCAGTCCCTTGACCTACAAAGGAGTTGCTCCGATCACCTGGTTCGACGATGATCCCGATGATGCCAGCACGCCCTCCTTTCAGCCCCTCCGCTTTGATCATTGCAGCCTTATGTCACTTCTGCTCTGTGGACGCCACACCGCATGCTGTCCAACAGTAAGGACCCAACACTGTCATGTGGCTCCTCTGGCCCCTGTCCATCTCCTCTCAGTCTGGTGAGGCCCTTGGGTATGGAGACCTAAGGGCAAGTCCTTATCACAAGACCTTATTTGTGACCCTTAGGATCTCTTAGAGTCCTGCTTTTGTTGCTGACCAGGGCCTAACCCTCCCAATGTCACATCACCTACGGACTTAGTCATAATGTCTTCCGTTTTGTCGTCCAAATCATTCATAACGACGGTGAGCAGGGCTTGCCTCACACCATTAGACACCTTTCTCTAGGCCTCCAGCCTCCTCGGGCCGTTCCCGGCTCATAAATCAATAGTCTCCATGGCATGGGCTTCACACAGTTCCCTGAGATCCCGCCCGCTGCACTCTGAAGCTCTGGTGCATTTTTCTGGGCTCCCTGGCTAATCCTGGGGAAAACTGAGCTTTGGAGGACATGCCTTGTCCTTAAGCCACCAGGCTGGCTCAGGGTGATACCGCCTCCTCTTCTTCAGGCTGGGGGACAATCCCCCTAAGCAGCCTGTTCTAGAATCTTGCTGGTACTGCTTCATCGACATCTGCCAGCTTCTAGTTTTCTCCAGCTTCCCTTGTTATCAGAAGCAGAACTATTTGTGGCACATGTATTCTGTGCCTTGTTTTGGGTCATCTCGATGCTTGCAGCAGCCCTCTCCAGTTGGTGTCATTGCTGTCCCACTGCAGATGAGGAAGCTGTCTTGGGGAGGGGGCTTGTGCCTAGGGTCACTCAGCTAGGGAGGGCAGAAGGAGAACTAAAGCGCTGTCTGTCTGGCTCCAAGCCTGGCTGTCCACCACCTTGCCCAGTGCCTCTCCCTTTGGAAGGCTCCTCAGGGATGGTGCCCTCTGGTGCCTGGATAGTCACCCTGCCATCTTCGTTTTTCCTCCTGCCTGGAAATCTTATTTCTGTGAGTGCGTTCCCAGCCCCAACTTCCAGCTTCTGGGGCTGGGGATCCTGAGTGGCCCCCCACTCTCCTTCCTGAGCTTCTCGCCCTCAATCTCCACTGCCACTCCAGAGGCATCAGGAAGACTAAGGTGACATTCACGTGACAGAGACCTAGATCCACACTCATTCGGTCAGAGGCAACCCAGACTGGCCTTGCCCTTCACGGCCAGTACCTTCCGGTCTCACTCACAAGCCTGCTTGGGTTACCTCAATGTCAGCTTGGCTCAGGAGCCTTGCATCTTGTTTCAGGGCTCGGGAGATGCAGCTGGACTCCTTTGTTGAACCACACTTGCCTTTGGAGCCAAAGTGGACTTCTCATGTTTCCCCCAGGGCAGGCCACACAGAGGTTGCCTGGCCCCCCAGCAAGGCCATGAGGAGCAGCCCCCTCCGGCGGCCCCACGCTGCCCACACCCCAGCCCTGCCTCCCTGCCACACAGGGCCCTGCAGGGCCCAGGCTCCGCCCCTCTTGCTTTGCCCCGCAAACACCCCGCCCTTTCTCAGACAGCATCCTCCACAAAGGAAGGAGCAATACCAGCATTTATGGAACATTTAACACACACTAGACACATTTTTCTCATTCAGTTCTTCCCAGGAGACCTATGAGGTGGGTGTTGCTAGTTCCTTGTAGCGGCTGTGAAGAAGAAGGCTCAGAAAAGATAAGCAACTTGCCCCAGGCTCTTGGCTGTAAGTGGCAGAGTCGAGATTTGAACCCAGGTCTCTTTGAAGGTCTCCCCCCTTTTTCTGTCTGCTTCGTGGACTGCCGACCTCTCCCAGGCAGACTGTGCGTCCTCCTCTGAGCGCTCCCAGCCACCTGGCCTGCATTCCCGAGGCTCTCCTGCCGCCGCAGCCGCAGATGTACTCTGTGAGCCCCTGGGCACAGGCGCCTTGTCCACCTCTGTGACCCGGCGCCCAGCCCAGGACCTGGGGCGGCAGCTGGTGTTTGTTGAGTGACTATATAAACGGCAGATGACGTGTCTTCCATCTCCCTTGCAGGCACAGGGCCATGGGTGACCACGGTGGCCGCCGGGAGCCAGCCCGCCCTGATCGCACACTCCTATGGAGTAGCCCAGCCTCCCACCTTCAGCCCGGCTGTGAACGTCCAGGCCCCGGTCATTGGGGTGACCCCCTCACTGCCTCCACACGTGGGGCCCCAGCTCCCGCTGATGCCGGGCCACTACTCGCTCCCACAGCCGCCCTCTCAGCCACTGAGCAACGTGGTGGTCAACATGCCTGCCCAGGCCCTGTATGCCAGCCCTCAGCCCCTGGCCGTTTCCACACTGTCTGGTGTGGGACAGGTGGCCCGCCCAGGACCCACCACGGTGGGCAACGGTCATATGGCAGGGCCCCTGCTGCCTCCGCCACCGCCAGCCCAGCCATCTGCCACTCTCCCCAGCGGCGCCCCTGCCACCAATGGGCCCCCCGCGACCGACTCAGCCCACGGGCTGCAGATGCTGCGGACCATTGGTGTGGGGAAGTATGAGTTCACCGACCCTGGGCACCCCAAAGGTAAGTCCTGCTGCCACATGCTCCCTGTGTGCCTGCGTCTGTGTCTCCCCACGCGGTCGCCACGACAGAGCACGGACAGGAACATGGCTCCTGGTGGCCTGTGCACTCCAGCGCACCCTGCTGGCCTCACCCCTCCCCAACCCGGAGGCTGCCTCCATAGCGCCTCCCCCAGGCCTCAGACAGAGGAAGCAGAGGAGAAGGCGTAGGACAGGACAGGGAAGGCAGGGCAATGTGAGTGGGCAGAAGAGGCGGGTCGGGGGGAGAGTCTGCAAAGTCCAGGGTGCTTTTGCCTCCAGCCCAAGCCCTGGGTCATTCTCACCTCTGACCCCAAGGCCAGGCCAAGTGCAGAATGCACAGGAATCACCTTAGGGCCCCTTAGGATTCCATGGAAAAGCTCCCTTGGCCCTTCTCCATCTTCCACCCATGAGGATAGTGGGAATATGAACTGCCTGTGTCCCTCCCCAGAAAAGCTCCCTCCGCCGCGCTGTCTGAGGGAGTGGGAAGACCAGGGCAGGGGGCGGGAAGCCAGTGAGCAAGAAGAGCAGGGGCCACTGACAAGAGGCTGGTGGGGCTCACCTGTCCCAAAGGTACCTGTCCCTTAGAGCTCCAGACAGCCGGGCCCTGTTCCTGCTGAGTGAGTGCAGCGGGGAGGCAGCCAAGCCCAGGCCCAGGTGCAGGGGGAGGGTGCACGGCAGGCGGCCTGGCTGCTGGGGGACCCAGGCCTCTTTTGAAAGTGGAAGGTAGATGGACTGAGGAAGTGTGGACCTCTGAGCACAATGCTCAGCCTCCCTGCTTACAGCCCCTTGAGACTGCATCTCAGGGGTCCCGGACCTTAGCAGAGCTTTGATCCAAACCAGCATTCTCTTCCCATCTGCTCTCATGAATCTCTACCTTCATCCTCTCGGGCAATTTCCAGGCCTTGACCAGCATCCCAACAACAGAGCTGTGTCTAGATCTTCACTGGGTTTAATTCCCAATCTAATAGCACCCTGTCTGTGTTTAGGAAAATCAGCACTAGTTTTAAATGACAAAATTATAGAAAATTATGTCTAAATTCTGGTAAACTCTCACTTTGTTTAAGATCTTCTTTTTTAAAAAAATTGTCTAAATTGATTTTTTGTTTGAATTGTTTTGGTTAAGCTCTCTCTCCCTTTAAAAAAACAAAAACTTACTCCCAGTTGTACGTTGCCAACTCAGACACAATGGGCACCGGGTGTCCCAGCTGCTCCCAAAGCCTTGCCAGAGCCCGGAGCCCTGGGTGGGCTCCCTCCTCCCCACCACGGGGAGAGCCCCTACCCCGACAGCCTCCTGGGGCTGATGGAAGGGCGTGCTGACTACTTGCCCCGTTTCAGACACACATCTAGGGAGAGGGCTTGTTCTGTACAGAAAGGTAGCTGGCCCAGGTTGGAGTGGAGTCCCTCATTGGCGGTTTAGCGGGGGTCTGGGAGCCGCCACCCCGAAGCTGCCAGGCGCAGGCCCATGGCTTCATGCTCAGACACCTGGCTCCCTGGGACCAGGAGGATACAGTGTAGAGACAGGCCCCTGCTGGCCCCGGGGCACCCTGGGCCAGCAGGTCATTGTGGAGACACAGCCTTTAACATCTTTGTGGGGCCAGAGGACATGGGGGGGTCCCAGCCCATGGGCAGGAGGGGAGACGGAAAAAGGGTCCTATGGGCTTTCCTCTTCCAGCCCCAAAGAGTAGATTCAGTGCCAGGTGAGGCCAGAGAAGGGGTGTCCCTAGAAGGTGTCTACAGCCCCCTTCTGTTGAGCCAGGGGGGACCCCTCCCCACCCCCTGCCGGCTCCAGCCAGTGACGACCCTCACGCAGACTTCCAGCGTTTGCCAGAGAGCTGGCTGTTTCCCCAGACATTGCATTTAACTCGCTTCTCTATTTACAGCCTTCATGGGCTGATTTATCTCCTTGTGTTCGGGGTAAAAAAAGACAATGAAACATGCACATACAAATGCCTGCAAACTCAAACCTGGGTGGATTTGTTGGGGTTTTTTTTTTTCTTTTAAGTAATTTCTCCTTTCATTTCTAATCCTAAAAGCCTTTATTGCTAAAGCTATAATTTGTCTGTCAGATCTAATGTCAAACAACTGCATATTTTTTAAAATAAGAAACCCGAATTTTGAAACCAAATCTTTGAAACTTGCCATGTGAGAATCATACTTCTGACAAGACCATGTGGGTTTGGATTTGGGTCACTTTTAATTTTGCCCCTCGGGATTTTACGTCTCTGGAGCCCAATTGATTTCACACTCCTAAACGACAGGCCGCTAGCTCCAAGCGGGAACCAGGAAGCCCTGCGTGGTGGCGTCAACACCAGTCTGAACTCCACTTTAGAAAAAGAGAACTTTCCTTTTCCCCTGTTCACTGATTGAAACCTTGCCCAGCATTATAATAAGCGCCACCATAGCATGCCTTGAGATCTGGCTCATTAAGGTTCCGCGACTTTCCCTACCATCGCTTGACGTGACAACCTGGTCTCTCACAGGGTGGAGTAATTATGGAGAAATCCCGTCCATGAAGAGCAGGTCTTGCCAGCCAGAGGGATGGGCCACTGGTATTTTTAGACTTCATTAGCGCCCTGATTTAAAATTTCACATTTTGTTTCTTGTACTTATCTTCCAATCAAGGGAGCTAAAATTTCAGTTGGGGCTATTTATGTTAGCCTGCCTTCCCAAAAAGGGTGTTGGGACTGTGATTTAACACGTAACCAACTGAAAAATAAAGGTGGTGTGGAAATGCTTTTTGATTTGCAACAGGTCAAGCGACTGTCTCTCATCTGTGACTAGAGAAAGCAGCTTGCATGCAGTTCACTTTAATGAGTGTTATTTAAATGCATTGAGCACATATAGATTTTCTTAAGAAACAAGATAAATCTTTCTTTTCTAAGAATCATATGGGGGTGGGAGGACTCTGTGGGATTTCTTTCTTATTTTTTTAAGGTTATATATTGAAAGCTAATTAAAATAGATTTCATGCGCGCAAAGTGATAAGGGAGGAAAAAAGAATTAGTTCCGTTTGTATCCTGTTATAAAATGCCTGAGCCATTTGTCTTGTTGAATTGGAACCCCTGAGCTCATCCACGGGCAGAGGTGGCGGCCAGCCTCAGGCCTTGAAACCCTCAGGTCTAATGGCCTTGTACCGCGCCCATGTGAGCCCAGCTGAGAGCGTCACAGCAGAGGTCCAAGTTATTGATGTCATCCTTACTTGCTTTCAAGAAAGATTATTGGTAGCCGAGAGGACAGCCAGAGACCCTGCGAAGCGCCAGACCCTGCGCCGAGCGGTGAGCTGCAGGAAAGCTATTGTATTTCCACCAGCACAGCCGGGGATGGAGAAGCCAGGCTGTGCCTGCTCCCACTTTTCTCCACCAAAAGGCAAAGTCCAAGTCGGCCTGAAGTGGGGAGGCTTGCTGTTCTGACTTTGGATTTTGTAGGCCCAGAGTGAGGGGCCGTGGTTGGGGTGCAGGCAGAGGGGCATGTGCGGCCCCTTCCTGCGGTTCCACGTCCCCTCACTTCCCCTTCCTGCCCCTGGACCTCCACCCGACAGGGCTCAGCCTGTCCTCACACTGCCCCCTGCTTGGCAAAGACAGGGTCTGCTAAAGATATTTTGAGGCACAGTGAGCAGCTGTGTAACTGGGGCAAGTCTCCTAGCCTCTCTGAGCCTCATCTACCTTGTCTTCCCTCATCCAGCACAGAGGAGAACTTAGTGAGACCCTGACATCGAAGACTGCTGTTCTGTTGACAGGGGCCCCAGGTCTGGAGAGCTCAGCCAGGGAAAGAAGCTCGTGAAGGGTGAGAAAGCCAGGCCCCGCTCCCCGGAGCGGAAGAGAGGGAGGAAGCCCAGGCTTGTTCACAGGGCTGGCAGCCCCCAATCAAGCCACTTAACGGGACCTCATGCCCCCTTCCCTGAAAGGGAGCGGGGTGCATCAGCTTGCTGGCAGGGGCATTCAGGACTGCTGTCCCCAGCCATGCAGCCAGCATGGACCTCATGTCTCTCTCCCCTGCCCTCTGACATGCCCGGGCGCACTGCTCCCTTTGCAATAAATATTCTGGAAGGAGCTGGGAATTCACAATAAAGTCGTTTGCCCACACATGGTTAGCCCAGAGGGCACGAAACCCCCAGACTGAAATCATCTTCCCACAGACCTGCTCTTCCTGTGTATCTGTCTCAGAAATGACGTCATGAATCCATCCAGGTGTTCAAGGTCACAGCCTGTGGTTGCCCGTGACTCACCCTTTCCCACTGGGCACTGAGTCTGAAAGCTCCTTGGACCCAGCCTCCCCTGGACCCCTGGCCTCTCCACTGGCCTGCAGTGGCGACCTCCAGGGCTGTGCTACAGCCACAGTGGCCTTTGCAAAATACAGGTCTGGTCCTGTGTCTCCTGGTCAAATGCATCCAGCAGCCCCTCTCCTCTCCGGACAATGCTCAGCCCCCGACCTGGGGTTCCAGGGTCTGACTCCCACATCTCCTGTCATCCTACTTACAGGCTGCCACCGCACACCCTGGGTTCTCCGCCATCCAGCTGTGCTCTGGGCCATGGCAGAGCCCCTCCCCCTGGGTCTTTCTCCCAATGAGACTGTGGGGAGTCTCATTGGGAGAAAGGCCTCCCCCGGCTTGTGGGGGGAGGCCTGCAAGAACTCCGTCCAATTCCCACGCCACCCCCAGCTTCCCAGCCAGTGCCTGGCTCCGAGAGATGCGGAAAAGCATGAGACAGATGAGGGCACAGAACACTGAGGTTGGAACGACCCGCGTAGTTCTGTGACTTCCCTCCCTTTGTGTGTGCCTGTTGGTCCTCAGGCCCCAGGCGGGTAGGAAGGTGCCTCATGTGCGACTTCTTCTGCTACCCGCCCCCCCCCCGCCCACCGCCCCCATCTGTGTCCCACGCCTCTGGGAACCGCAGTCCGTCTACTTTTGTACCCAAACACCTCTATCCAAATACTGGGGCCAGAGCAGGCGGCGCCTAAACTCTGTCTCTGTTTCTGCCTCTATAA